ACTCCGTTGAACAGATTTCGGGCTCATCCCACCAACTTTGGCCACTTCTGCAGTCGTTAATCTGGGATCCATTTCGATGCTCCTCTTGACAGCCCTTTTTGTCCTCTCCGATGGACCAGGATGACCCGGATGTTGCTCAGTTGTTTCCTTGCCATGTTTCCTGAACTGCATGATGATTCTGTTGACTGTCGAAAGCGAAATTTGCCGTTGACTTATTACACCATCTGCTTGACCAACTATCCTTCCTCCAACAAAATCTGACAATTCGAGAGAACCTTGAGTTCTAGGCGTGTTGTAGCACAAGATAATTAGTGTGCAGACCATTTTCATTTATATACTGCTCTGTGAACACAAATTAGTTAGCATAAATCAGGTGTCTATTTACTTGTGACCACTCAGTGTATAATATTTACATTTTACAGCCATTTTATTTACAATACTGTGTTGCTTTGTTTACCATGCTATGCTGTGAAAAAGTTACAGAGTAAATAGAAATCTAACTATGCTCAAAATATGGGAAAGAAAATGCACATAAATACATACAGGTGCATCCATGTAAAAAAATATAAAAATTGCTGATCTACTTTTTGCTTCAGTAATTACTCTAAAATAATATTCTTCTCAGAAACTGGCAATGAAAGTATCAGAAAATGGACAAGTGATTTTATGTATTACTGCAACTTACACAATACAATAATGATAAAATTATATTAGTAACAACTATGCAATTCACTACTCAAAAGGTTATGTTGAAACAAAAGTAGTGGTTTGAATTTTGTATTCGATACTAAGTTCCATTTTCTAGAATTCACTATGCTATATATTCAAATAAATGCAAATAACAACACATCTTACATATAAAAATTAAGTTTTTTTAAGATGTTAATCATTGAACTACAACTTTAATCAGAGCATGCATCAGTAAGAAAAAACTTAATTCACCTCAAGACAAAAAATGTGAGGAATAAAATTCTGATGATCAAAGCAACTTACCAATAGCCTGCAGGAATAAGAGCTTGTTTCCAATCGGATGCTGAGGTAAGATACCCGATCTTTTCTACTGTCATACATCCTAATAGAGAATCACATTTTCTTTATATTAATAATTAATCATTTTGACGCCAACTTCTACCTTTTAGTCTAATATAAAGTGATGAGGAAATAAAAAGAACTGACAACAAAGATTACACCTTAAAAAAAAAAACTATATCCTGCATATATAATAGATATTATCTATTATACATTCATCACTTAATACTGTGGTTCTCAAACCTTTTGTCTCAGGATCCATTTGCAAACACTGATTGCCTGTCATAACCCAGTAAATAGCTTTACTACAAAAACATATGACGTAGTTAAACACACATACAAAAATAAACTTTATCCATTTTAAAAGTGAGTCTTTCACACATTCTACAACTCACGGATTGAGAAATTTTGACTAAAGGTATATAATATCATACCACCTATTTTCTTTTCTCAGATTGATTTTCTGTGGAAGTAATGAATCAAGATTAATGCCATGCAATGCATCAGGTAGATTTTATTTCAAGTGTCAATGTGTAATCAAAGATTAAAACATAAATTTCTAGTAATATTCAAATAAAAGCCTTTGAATAAACTTCAGTAATATTCAATAACCTGCCACTATAAGCTTTTCTTCCACAAGGATAATCCACAAAATTCCACAGGGAGGCTAAAAACAGAAGTTGACGTGCCAATTGATCAGAAATGTGAAATGGAAAAGAAGTCTGAGGGAACTTGCATATAGTGCTAGGAATGTGCCTAACAGGGTGAACCATTCACCTTGTTTCACATATCATAAGAGCACAAATCTCATTATTGCATGTTGAGATTTAAGGTTGACAATAAACATGCCACATGATCTGTGCTTGATGATTTGTACAAAGGACCAATATTTTTTAGTGAAATGTGTGAATTTCAATAAATCCATAGATTTTTAACATCCCTGAAAAACAAAATTTTCTCAAGATGTAAAACACTGAAGTATAAATGTAATAAAAAGAACAAGCAAACACTGTATTCTGTAATCCTACAGATTTTGTGCAAATTTAACAACACGAAACTTCAAAACATCCAAGGTAACAACTTCCCAAGCATACACAAAAACATTCACAAGATGAAAGTCCATTTCAGATGTAATTGCATTGGTAGATTTTGGCTTACCTAACCACTAATGAAGGGAAGAAAATGGAGAACAAACCCAGCTTACCATAAAATATTCTTTTCCTATGGAAAAAAAATTACTTGAAAAAATTTTCAAGGTGCTTTAGGAACATCTGTGCATGCTCATTAAGTATTGAATAGAAAACTAAAGTGAATAAGAGGCTGAGTAGAATCCTGATATGAACACTGACAGTCCAAAATAAACAAATATCTTCAAGTAAAGCATATGAAATTAATTCCAATAAGGCCCGGTCAAATCAACAGTCAATATGAAAAATTATAATAATCTGGATAGGAAGCCTCCTACAGGGCAGAGAGGAACAAACCTTCTGCATATGAATATTAGCCACTATTTATATATTAAGAACAGCACACAACAGACAGTGAGTTAACTAATGAACAAAAGAGGATAATGAGGGATCTGAGAATGAATATGAATGTGGAAGAAACAAGTATCTAAAAGTAGTCACCAAAGACAACAAATGACACCAACTGATTATTCACTGAAGTTACACAAATCCTCCATCTTAAGATGAAAAACAACTAGAAAATGGTTCAATATCATCCAATTATAATGCTGTTATTCACTTGTTTGTATTTGAGTGATCTGCAAGAAGAAATGAGTGCTAAACTAAAGAAACATGTTACAGAACGGAAGTAGATTATAAAAACTGGAAAAGTCTGCATCTCCAAGACCTTTTGACCTAAACAAAAATAAACCACTAGTGCACAAAGAGCTAAGATCACATCCACAAAGAAGTAAAAAGTGGGGAGTTGAGAAATAAGCTGAATTACTAAGGTTTAAGAATGGGCTGATGTGTGATTTCAGTATCTTAAAGCAGGAGTTGTCTTGAGAATGTTACTAGAAAGCATAAAAAGGGAGGGAGTGACCAAGCTAAGTGTGTAATCAAAGTTTGCCATGATAGGGGAGGAAGAAACCAGTGTTTAAAAAACACAAACAAAGAGTCAAGAGAACTTACTAACAAACTAATTAAATTTTTTTATATATAGGTCTTTTCTATGACTAAAATTTAATCCAATTTTATATTAGTTTGAATGTTGAATTTTTTAAATAGCCGTTTCATTTTAAAATTTTAATGTCATCTGTTACAGCATACAAGTTGTCAGAAAAACTATATTGCTATTCCATATTAAACATTTAAGATTGCATTGAAACAAGGTATGGTGTTTTCTGATAAGCATGTGAATTCCATTCACACATGTCCAGCTTTTGTGGGGCTGCTGCACATAAATGTGAAAATAAACACTGATGTGGATCCATATTAAATTTCTTAAATTCAACTTTACTATAATAATTTTCCAAAAGAAAACCTTGGTCACATTCCTTAAAACAATGAACCACACTGACAATCACCTGACTGTCAGGGTCAGAGACTGTTAACAAACCTGATTCCTTAACAAAGCTTAAGGACTGAAAAAAAAAAAGAGAAACTAAGAGAGACAACTGTTTCAAAAAAATATATTAACCAGGAATACATTATCAGAAAAATATGTAGTGTTTTACCTGCTTAATATTTCTCTTATCAACAAATGTGAAAAATGTTTAAATAAAAAATTAGGAAGTAGGAATGAGAGCACCAAAAAGTAAAGAAAAGTAATATGTATGTGTGTTTTATTAAAGCAAAGCCACATCGAGCTATCTGCTGTGTCCACCAAATGGAATCGAACCCATAATTTTAGCATAGTAAATCTGAAGACTTACCACTGTTCCACCTTAAGTAATGCATCTAAGGACACAGAATAATAGCACATACAAAGCAAACAATGTCCTATAACTATTAAAATTTAACTGGCTACTAGGAAAAGAGGGGCTTACATTAACGCCCTTTGCTACTTGATCTGAATACAATGAGATAAACTTTCAAACTGAAGACAAAGTAGACAATACTCTATCATTTTACATCATTTGATATATTGAAACTTTGCCTTTCTATTGGTAATAAATAATATACTATTCAATGTCAGAAAGAATTATTGGCAATTTGCCTAGACTTTGCCCAAGTAATATCTATAATATAATAAGTAATATACATTAAGTTCCACACTTCAGAGAGAAAAGATAAATAAATTAGAGAAGAGAAAAGATCCAGAGGAAAAATGTATTGATTCAAATACTAGAGGAGAATTAAGATTTTTATAAATATTTCCTTATAAAATTAAGAGCTTAAAACTTTTAGCTTTAATACCGAGGAAAGAGAAATGGTCTAGATAGAGAGAAAAATACACAAAAACTTAACAATTGAGGATAAAAGGCTATTTCACTTTAGTTGAACAAGAAAAACTGGCTAAAATGAGAAAGATTCACAAAGGAATAAAGTTTGAACTGGAAGTGAAATAGTCAATACTCTGTACAGAAAACAATGTAATATAATATATCACTTGATAGATTAGAACCTTGGCTTTCTATTGGTTATACATAATATAATATTAAACGTCAGAAAGAACTACTGGCAAGTTCTGTAAGTGAGGATATGACAAGTAGGCATGGCAAATGGGGTCTGATTTTCTATTCTATGGCTCTGTAACCATTTAAGATTGAAGGCTGTAAAAATCATGATTTTCCTGAGTGATGACAAAATTATCATGAGTAATTTACATTAAGTTTCATACTTCTTGGAGGGGTGGTAAATAAAGTATAGAAAAGGAGATACCTAGAGAGCAAATATCACAATTCTCACACTAGGTGAAATTGAGGATTTTCTTCTAATATTTTCTTATACAATTAAGAACTTAAAACTTATATAATGTTAAAATTTGGATTATTAGCTATGTTTTTATGCCAAGCTTATTTATAAACTATGAGTAGAAAGTAGTTTAATTAAATTTTGAATGTTGCCTATTAAAACCTCCTCTCACCCCACACACACACACACACAAAATGATGCGCATTCTGAAAGAGTTAAGGAAATTATGAAACTCGATAAAAAAAAGTAAATTGTCTGTCATAAAGAAAACTGAATGATCCACAAAGAAAGAAGCTATAAATTAAACAAAATGTACAAAGAAACAAAAGCCAAAGAATATGATTAGAAGGAGGAATTTCTTACAAGAACTAGATTATCAAAACCAGAGAAAATTTGCATGCTCCTGGAAGAAGAATTAAAACAATTATGTCTTAAGAAATCATAAAAGACTATGGCAAGGACAACAACCTCCCCCCTCCCCTTAACATACTTGGTCTAGGAAGAACGGGACTGAGGAAAAGTGACAATAAGCTATATGTACACAGTTCTTAATCAAAGTGTTATAAATCTGTTGCACAAATACTTTGATATATTTAACAGTAAAAAATTAATTAAAGACATAAAAGAAACAATTAGTTGGGTAGACATCCTGATGAAAACGTGGAGTTCTATATTTGTGATTGGAGATCTCACAACTCTAACAAAAAAAAAAGTTCCAAAAAAAAGAGTTTACATATTTGAATGCAATATTAAACATTAATCTAGCAGAACACTTCATAACGATTAATTCGAATAGTCAATTTTTTGTTTTAAAAGATTTTATGCTAAAATGTCAACAAAATTATACTAGTTTAGGCATAGCTATACTAGTATTTATGCCATGAGTTCTAAGTGTTTCACATAGTGCTAAAATGACAAATAACTACTTTTTCTAAAACATTAATTAGTGAAAAGTAGCTTTTAATAACAATTTGTGAATGTTTTCTTTCAAACATTAAATTTTTTTTTTCCTGAATTACTTTAATAATTTCTACAAATAATTCAATTATAAAAAACAACTACTCATTATCTCAAAATAAAACAGATCAAAGCTAATTATTCTTATATTTTACACAAATTTAACCAAAAAGTTCATAATGTTATGCATGAAGAACATAAGGAAATACCAAAACTTTCAGGTAAATAGCTTGAAATACTCCTTTCCATTAAATCTGCCATTTAATGATTACTTAAGTAAACTAGGTATCTTTCAAGCATTTTTTATAGTCAAAACTACACCCATTATAACTTTAAAAAGCACATGGGGTCACAAAATAAGGTAATGAAAACTAAGTCTCAACCCAATCACTTTCAAAAAGTCAGATCATCCTTCCTAAGAAGCAAATGGTAAATGAGTAACATATTTAGTATTGTAAAATAAAAGTTTTAAAACATTTATCAGTCAAACCTTACTCACATATAAGAACTAGTTTATCATCTAGCATTCAATAAAAAACTTAATTACACTCAAAGAATTATCCCAATAATGTTTACAGGTTTACAATAATTTAATTTTCAAAAATTAAGAAAACTGGTTTATTCTTTACTTAAAAACTGGAACTTTACCTATTAAGACAGTTAAGCTTCTTGAATCTACTCCATTCTGCCAAGACTTCCTAACCCACTTAGGTGCAATCCCATCTTGGTCAACATAAATACATCGATCCAACAAAAATCCATCATCTTTAACAACCTAATATAAATATTAGTAATTGTGTAATAAGTTACAAAATCACAAACATTTCCTATAAAGCAATTATTATTTAATTTTAAATACTTAAATAATAAAAAAAAAGGATTTATCTTATTGATGTCTTAACAAATGTATAAATGGTTGTCAACTATTGTTTAACTGATATCATTGAAAAAATTAACATTTTTTGCTACTTCCAGCTTCATGGACAGTAAATTTATGGACAACTGACAACCCTACATCAGAGTCTTAAGATTTTAAATGAACATTTTCTTTCTTTTATTGTGTGGATACACATCAATATATTTATATCTGTTTATCATAATTTTGTTTAACCTTTCAGATATGTATTTATACTATTTCATACACACAAATATATTGTATCTACTGAAAATACATAGATTGTGGGTTAATTTACAAAAATTTCTTATCATAATCACATTAATGCTAAATGCATTCAAAGACATTTAACACATTGCACTAAAATTTTTCATAGTAATACTTTTAAGCTTACCAAGGAAGTCCAGTGAAATAACCCGATATTAAAACCATTTGAAAATGACACTTCTGACCATATCAAAAACTGTGATGCTTAGTTCATACGTTTCAGCTAAACACTACATTTGAAGAACAGTGAATTAATCGAAAGCGCTCAAGTTTTGGGTCTCGTTTGAAAACCATTTGAACAACAAGGCAACTGTTTCACACATTATATTACTGAGACATGAACCAATCATATGCTTATGTTCATATGGCATTTTTGCTTTTCACTCTTTTAGTTCTCCATTATTTTACAATATTCAGAAGTAATCTTAATATGCTCTAGGTCAGAGCTGTTCAAGTGGTGGTGTGCAGGCCTCATCCAACCCCCAAATATTGGAAGGATATTATTATTTAAAACTTAACTTTGTAAAACAGTTAAAAACAACAACACTTCTTTCACAATCTTAAGGAGGCAAAGTATTATTCACATATTACTTGCATATTTCCATATGGAATGATGGATGGACAGGAATGTTCTAGTATTCAAAGAGAATTACAGAATCTAAGACTCTAGTGTGTTAATTAGCAATCAAACTTGTGAGTGGATTGTTAAATTACAAATCCACCTCTCAATTGCTTGAGAGTGGATAGCCCTGCTTAGAAGTATGAAGAAACTCATCTAACAACATAGGGGTACTTTACTTAAAAGAAGTTCACCAAAATTTATCTTGTCAATCAACTGCTTACCAATCTTACTTTAATTTCAACTTAGATCCTGTTACATGTATAAAACATTTACATAAATTTAGGTGTAAGTTCTTAAACAACTACTTTCAGTCATTTAAGTTCTGCAAAGCCACTGTTAGAATTCTTTTTTTTTGTATAAATCATAGAGAAAATGATGAAAACATTATAAGAAGTAAAAATACTATCACTTGGCCAAATACACTAATTTTATTTATGACTGTATACACCTAAATCTACATGTCATTAAGTCTAAATGCTATAAGAAAAAACAACAACTAAAACCCAAAAGACTAAGCTCTATCATTACATTATTAGTTCAGTTACACTACTTTTTGATAATGAGTGTGTTTAAAATATAAAAGGCTGCTTTATCTTTCCTTTCTAAGTATTATTTTTAGTGAACTCTCTACCTTTTTTGGACTTATCATGTTTCTTTTCTGGCTTTTGCAGAATATTTAACATAATTTTCATTACTTTCTGTAGTCAGCTCTTTTTTCTTTTTGTTACAGGAGATAATTAAGAGTTGTTAGGTTTCTAAGACATACCACATACTATATTTAACACATTGTTTTCTATGCATTACATATTGTTACATTTTCATGGACAATTCAGGTATTATTTCAATTTTTTGCATCTTCATAAAATTCAGTTTTTGCTTGTAGTACAGGAAAATAACTGCTAGAATTTTGACAAAAATTATTTATTATTATTATAATTTTATCCTAAACTGTTTTACATTGTTATCTTAATATACATATTTAAGACTAATCTAAATCTCCTAATCTGAATGAACGTCATGAGATATTAATGACGTTACTGCTGAAGATATTGTTAACAACAAAGGTATGCAAACAATGATGTAACAATGCATTATATTCTTTACAAGTAGAAAGTTAAGAAATGTATAATTAGCTATAATGATTGTCAGGTTGCTTTTTAGTTTTGCTCTATGTATAAAGCTTACTCTGATTGGAAGATAATATTAATTTTGGGGAGAAGCTCATAAGATTAACTACATATTTTAAACTTGCAATTTACATATATTTACACAGAACACTTCATTCCTGCAGTCACTCTAAAAATTAAAGTACACAGTACCTCTTGATCCACACAGTCAGCATGTTCTGTACAATATACCTTCTTATCCACTTGAAACACTGCTCCCAAGTTTCTGGCACACATGAAATGATAGTTTGCTGGACACCCACGAATACAACACCCTACTGTAGCACCAGCAATACTGCACACATCACATCGCTACAGAACCATAGAAAACATACAAACTACATTCTCAGAAAGCTACCAAACTAATGTTGGGGCTGTCATAACAGAATGAGAATTTTGACAGTAAATTTTACTTTCTACAATAGAAAGAATAAAAATGTTAAATTTGTTTAGTAAATTTATTAATGTTATATTTTACATTTATGTGCAGCATTGTGACAAATCTTTGTGTTTTATTTTTCACAAATCAACATTTAAAAAAAGTAATCTCAGCAAAGTTTCATCATCATTACCAAAAAGCATAATGCATGAAAAGCTTTGGTCAAAAACCAATCCAGAATGATTGAACTGACTCATTATCATCACAATATATAAATGATCAGAACAGAAATCCTTAAACTAACTAATATTCTCAGGTCTTGTATTAAATTACAGATTTTATAATCTTAACTGAGAAGTATTAGTGAGAAAATATTTATTGTTCCTTTGAGATTTTAACCTCTACTTTTTATACTATATATGTAGTAAAACTTTCTAGCTTCAGCTTTCCAAAACTACATCAAGTGTTAAAAATTCCAAATGTTTGTAATTATAATAGATTTATCCAATTTAAAATTATTTTTAAACATCTGGCATATGGAGGAATTTTGTAACACCTTTATTATTATTATTCTTTATTGTATGTAAATGTTAATGGATTCAATTTAAAGAAAAGTGAAAAAAATTATAAAACTTATTTAAAAACAAAGTACAAATAAAAACCTATTTTACCTAATTTGACAAGATTGAGCTTCTTTACCATTTCTAGAAAATCCTCTTCCACACAGCTAGTTATATTTTATATGTAAGCATTACAAGTGTTACTGTGAACCTACCAACAAACGACTTCGTGAAATGGCAGCATGCACATTCTGAAGGGATCCATCAACTTCTTCAAATACTTCAGCTGACCAAAGAGCACAGTTGATGTGAACCCAATCATCTTGGCCACAATATATTAGTCGTCCAGATTCCTGAAACATCATGTTAACTTACAGATACACATAGAACACACACACACAGTTTTTCACTGTAAAAGACCACAAAGATAGTGGGTTAAACTTATCAATACCAATATATCATAGAGAAAAAGGATTATATTCTGTTTAATATAACAAAAATATACAAGGGTTAATTTATGTATTAATAAACATTTAAAATTATTTTCTGTAATCATTATTTAGTGAACAATTCACAAGCATGTAAGTTTACACATAAATTATGTAAGGAATTCACACTGTCAGAACTATACAAGGCTGCAAAAGTAGCTGCAAATTTTGTAGCCATCTCCAGATGTATAAAACCACTAGTGAAAAGTATTAAAACGGACACAACTACAACTAAGCACTTGAGCTGTAAAACAATGTTTAACACCTGCCACATGAGCCAGCCCAACAGGTTTTTAGTACTAAGCCTAGGATGGTCAACAGTGGGGTTATTCCAGAAACCAGTGATTTAAGGTTGTTTTAATACATCTTGCTGAATGACACTCGGCAAAACTTCACACAACTTCTAAAAAAAATTATAAATAAATATTAATGAAAATATGACATGATGACATCTGTATGGATTATACTAGGGTGGTACTATAATGGGCATTATACCATCCTTCTTATATTTACTCTTCATTGAAGAAATGGCATTTTTAATTTGAGAATTGCTAGGGACATCATCTTGTAATGCATCGTGCATCGGTTTCAACACTGCATCTTCGCTTTTAGTTTCACAAAATATTAAAACTAATTATTTCTTTTTGAAGGTAATGATACTACTGAGCCCGTTTTTCAATGTTTAGCTATCATTACAGTAATAAATTGATGATTCTCCAATTCAGCTGGTATGTCAAATCAATTGGGATATCCTTGATTAAATTCTTCCCTCCTCTGACCTGGACCCATGGTTTAACTTAGTCACTACACTTAAACCATCACATTACCAACCATATCTAGAACATTTCAATCATATTTAATTGCTACATCATTTTAATTTATATTTAGAAGTTAACTTCTCAATGTTGGCTCTCTTGATCTTAGGTCTGATCCAGCAACCTAAACCTCAAAAATAGTGCCAAATGTCTTTGTTTTATCTAATCATAACAACCCAAACCTTTCTGGAATGTCTCTTTTTTTTTTAATCTACATCAAGATGCCGGGCTGGCTCATGTGGCATATGTTAATATGGTAAAATACATCACACTACGTAATAATGTTGAAACAAACAAAAAAAAACCTTAGTAGTCCCATAAATGTTACCTATTAAAATTCTAAAAAAATTCCCAGCTCTTAAAGTTAGATTATTTCTATTCTGTGTATTTTATGACCATAAATTAAATAAAAAATTTTCTTCAATCTGTCTCAAAATATCTCAATATTTATTATTATGGAACAATCACTGTGATAATGCTAAAATGTGAAAGCACAGCATAGTTATTCTCTACCAGTTATTTCAGTTCTGAAAAATAAATATTTTATTACATTTTTTAATAACAGATAGAAAATGAAAATATTGAAAAATCTATAAGTTAAAAAGTTTTCATTTTTAAACCAAACAAAAAAATATCTTTTAGAACTTGTGTAATATGTCTCTGAAAAATAACTAATTTTTGCAAACATTGTAGATACTGTCTGAACACAATATGATAGCTTTCCAAATCACAAATACTAAATTCAAAGCAAGAATTATGATTATTGTTTTCAAGGAAGATGATCAATATGGTTTTCAAAATTTGTAAAGAATCTGCAAGCTAAAATTAATTAACATCCTTGCTAAAAAGCCTAAGTATCTGTGACTAACATTTAAACATGTAGCAAAAAAAAAGGTTAATTTAAGATAATATTTAAATGATTTAGCTGAAAATTCTTTAATCTTTTTATAGTTTTAAAGGAAATAACTTTTTTCTGAATTTCAAATATACTAGCCATACAAACTTACTTATTTTGTCCACACACAAAATATGTTTTGAGACTTATAAACAAAAACTGTTTTTAAAATAGGAGGCACATTGCAACTAGACATACTTGGGATTAGTTAGCAGTTTTCAACTAAGTATGTGTGTGTGTGTGTGTTGATGTATTAACATAAAACAAGTTCGTTAATAAGAAGTTCATGCCATGAAATCTCTTCCTAAAATTCCCATCTTCCGACTTAGTTCAGTTCTGCCTGAATCCTCAGTGTTTAAAAGATGCTAAACATCCAATATAAATCTCCTATTATTGCTTAGCTTCACCCCTTCCTCTAAATTGTAAACTATATTTAAAGATCAAACAGTGGCCTAAGGTGGAATGTCTTTGTATAAACAATGCTTTTAGAGATTTTCAGAGGCTTATAGAATAGCAGTTTTAAATATACAAAACCTAAAATAGTTTCTGATGAGCATTTTGTTTGTTTCTCTAACTGTTTTTTTTTTTTCAGATACAGATAAAAATAACAGTTCCAGGATTTAAAAAATTTAAATCTATTCTTAGAATATGACACTTCTATACTGCTTCACTGTATTACTGAGGAATAACAGATGAAATAAATTTTAAATTTTATGTCATCAGTTTTTACTTAAATTTAAACCTATCTGTTAGGATAACTCAAATAAAAGTTTACCAAGTATATATGACTTATTAAAGCTGTTATTTCATACTCATATAAGAATATACAGAAAATATCATTGTTTTCACTAATGTGACACATTGTTTACAAAATTTTATTCAGCTTTCAAAGCAAACTAACTTTGTTACATAAAGAACTCAACTATAATATATTGAATAAAAAGCAAGAAACAGAAAAAAACTACTTATGGTTTAAAAAGAAATAAAAAATTCAATAAAATAAAGGTTAAATAACGTGAAATATAGCTACCACCAATTAATTTCATCAAACTTGTCTATTGATAAAGATCTAAGTCAAAAAACCAACAGGCCTTAGGGATTTATAAGGTTACAATTAATTTGTAAAAAACAAACTCATAGTTAATGTGCATGTATCAGAATTCACTTTCATTGAGACTTTTAATTCATAAACTTTAGTAAAAATAGTTTCCAATACATTTTTTACTGCAATTAGAATAATTATCCATAAACAACTTTACATCATTGTCTTTGTTTAGACATTATGGAAGCAGAGAGCTAACTGCTATTATCTTGGTGCAGCAACATTGTGTTTCCGTAATACACTTTGCATTTTATAAAAACTGATATTTAAACATCTATCTAGCCAGATAAATATTGCATATTTCACACTGAATTTCCAACCTCATTCAAATGACAGACACCAGTAACAGTGTAATTGCAGCAGAGATCAAATTTAATAAAAAAACAGGCATTGTTAGGAAATAAAAACAAAATTCACATACCTTTCAAAAATTAAAAAATATAATTACAATTACGGATTTTATGAGGACAGGGATGCAAGGGGGTGGGTGTGGGGATGGTTGCCATGAAACCTGATAAGTGTAGTGAATGTTGGTATAATAAGCCTAAAGTAAAGGTGTAGCGTGGGATCATCAAGTCTACAGCCAAGTGATTAAAAAAGTTAAATTTTTTCTGAATTAAACTATTTTCTGTTATATCACCAATGCTTTTAATAAAATACAAAACCTCTTTAATCAACAGAGACTCTTAAATTAAGAAATCAACAAATATTTTTCCAGACTAACAACAATATTAGGTTATTCTTTTGTTACTAAGAAACATGATGTAATAGTCATTGTTGTAATGTAGTGTTACCAAAACATACTGGCTTTTCTATATATTAGAAATTGTTAAGCTACCTGATTTTCACCAATAATTATTCTATGAATACACCACAAAATCATTTCATGAATGATCCTAATTTTGACTGACTCACAAAAGAATTTACTGACGTTTGACTGCCTCGACTGCACTTTTCTGCTCTTTGCTGGTCAAGCTTGATTTTGCAAAATTTATTTATTTCAATTAACTATAAAATGTGAGGTTAGGGTATATTATGGGGTGAGGGTGGTAGTACTTGCCCCATCATTTTTGATGGGCCATATGTTAGTTATTAATTAATACCCACAATGTGTGTCATTTTTCATAAACTTAACTGTTAACAGTAACTATAATGCATAGAGAACAGAACATGTAATGATTGCATTACAATGTTTCCTGATAAATTTCAAACACGTATGCAGTGCATCTATAGATAGTGTTTCAGTCTAACTTAAAAACTACAGTCAAATTATATGTATGTCACTGTATCAGCATACATTAAATTCAATTGATGAACATTTTCCATAAGCATACAGCAAATATCAATCTAGGATTAAATAATACTTGATACAAAACTAAATGATTAACCGAGTTAATCTAGCAGTATAATTAAAAAAACAAAAAAACTGTTCTTATTCAATTTTGTAAAAGACAATCTAACATATAAACAACAAGTTACAATGTTAAATTATTAACTTACAGCAGGTTCAGCATCTCCATATTGTGAACAAAGGACACACTTGCGAGGATCACAAGATGGCCCCATTTCTTTTTGATCTCCACCTAATTATAAAAACATACATAAAAGTATAACATTCATACAATGTTGCATACCAATAAGATCTATTTTTGTATCCAATCCACATCAAAATCTGGGTTCTTATGTTATTACTATTATTTTTCATCAATACTTATCAATTCCAATTACTCAGTTTAAAACACATTTGATAATTTAATAAATGACCTAACATGGACAAAATATTATATATTTTCACTTAGTATTACGTAATAAATTTTTTGGAGACAATTTTGAGAGAACTGAAACAAAATTTCAATGAAAAAGAAAATACCTACTAGTTAAAGCTGGGTGATTAAACACACTTAGTATATTACCTATGAGAATAATTACATCAATTAGTGACATGTGTAACACCATTAAGAAGTTAACCTGTATTAACCTGTTTAAGTATGACTAGCTCTAGCTAGGTAGGAAGCAATGAAAAGTAAATACAAAATACTGGCTGTCTTCACATGCTGATTAAACACTGCCTCAAACAGTAAACTTCTAGTTGTTTGATTTAATGTAAAATGCAAATGTATTAATCATTTAATGTATTCTTTCTAAAATTTCCTCTGCATTAAAACTTCTTGTTTAAAACATTTTTATACTTATGAGGTTGTTAGTCATTTTCAAAATTTTTCATGCTGATGATGGAATTAGAAAAGAAGTCAGAAATATCTCTAATAAAAAAATTTCTTTTATATTACCACAATTTTAATATTTCTGATACTTTGACCTTATAAAACAATTTAATCTCTGATAAGAGGTCATCTGTTACCTTCACAAGTTTTCTTGCCAAATATTAAATGCTGTACTGTTTTTCTTTTTATCACTGAATTATATATTATTTACTATATACTGTTAACCTATGTACATGAACATGACTCCTATTTAATTATGACTAACTAGCTGGATAAGAAGCACTGGAAAGAAAAGATTATTAGTTTTATTACATGAAATCTAAGAACAGTTAAGTATATTTAGTTTTAGTAGTCTTGTGAAAATTTGTAGGGAGAAACCCAAGGAACAGTATTAATCATATTTATAGTTTTTTTATATGTTTCATACTACATTGCATACATATTTTCATTTACAAAAGTTTAATACTAAAAAATACCTTAATTTTAAATTGTTGTACTTAATACACACACATACATACATATATATATATAAATAAAGCAGTAGCTAAGAACAAGCAGATTATTCTCAGGTTAAAATAATCAGTTACTACTTATTTTATAACACTGAATATAGGTAACAATATACATTCTGAATTTCTGATAGCACATTGGCCCACTGTAATCACCAGAATGTTACTTACAGTCTAATACAAGTTTTAACATTAAGCACAGTCTAGTTCTCAAATTTTGATAATATATATATATATATCACTTTCAAGCCCATGATTTAATATTATCATAAACACCAAAAGTAAAAACCTCTTTTTTCTTTTTTGATACGTGTATGTGAGATGTTTTCTAGTATTACCACAAATATTAAGAAAACAGGTACTATAGTAATGTGTGTATACAGATATCTCTCATGTACCTTTTAGTTTTCTCAGCTTTCCTGGTTGGATCAATGGTTCTCTGACTGCTCGACTAAGATACTGAGCATACATATGATCAAGATGTGGTGGAACAACAGCTTCAGGAAGTACTCCTTCAGGTACTTCAGGTGCACTATGTACACCCCAAAGCTTAAACATTTGTATCTTGAACCATGGAAATACCTTCTCCATTTGCTAAATAACAACAAAGTTCAAAGAATACTTATTATAAATTAAAGAAAGTGTACCAAAAAAAACAAACCTACATCATTTAGACAAAAAATTTAAAACATTAATCCACTTACTTTCATTATTGCTCACTTTTTATACATGAAATTCATGTTTTTAAGAAGTATACTGTACATTTTTTTGGATATTATTATATGGTAATTTTCTCAAAATATAAACTGCTTTTTTGTGATATAGAATTGACAGCTTATGATACTTCTCAGGTGCTTCAAATTGATAATAGAGAGTTTAAAAGTTAACAGTTGCATTTTCTATTTTATATGAAACAAATTCCATTTACACATTCCTCCAGGGAATTAGAGTACTCATAAAAATCCCAGTGTCTTTATTGAACTATAATTAACTTTTATTATAATTTTACCCCAAAATGATCCTCCCATAGAGGAAGGATTCAAGTCCATCCAAATTACAACCCTCAAAGCTAGCTATGTTTTAGCAGAAAAGTTTACTTGTCCAACTCATCACCACAAAAATAGTTAATCAGACTTGAACATGTACATAAACATTTCATCTGTATGTTTAAATAAACTTCCACCTAGGGTGTAATTTGATGATGTAACAATATCTCAAGTAAAAAAGAAGCATGTCCAGGAAGTCTATTCTATTTCATGAGGAGACATGACAATAATACATCTTAGTGAAAAATAATATAAAATTTCATTTAAGCTTAAAATAGTTCTGAATTTCAGATCCTTGTCAATAATGAAATAAAAAGGACAAAAATCCTAGGTTAACAATATTTTGCCACAACTGATAAACATGCTATAAGTTAATATGTTTAAATTAAGAGAAAAATCTAAAGATTCATCTAACACTCTTGAAATAAAAACAAAAAAAGCTGTTGACTTTTACTTATGTAATGATATGAAAACAATAGATATTCTGTCCATTCACAATTACTGAGTAGAATATGTGAAAAGTAGTGAACATATGCTACAAAAGCTGTAACATATAAAACAAAACAGCATACAACATATGAAAACAAAATTACATTAAACCACCTTTTACAATTAGAACCATTTAAAGCTTCACTGAGTGACAAAATCATTCAGGAAACTAGCACCAATTCTAAGCTACTCAAGATATGGGCTTTTACAAAAGCTAACATGTTCTAATAGTTCTAAAGGTGTTATTATTTTATCTTTCTGGAAAGCACAGTGAATTTTGTCCTTTCAATCTCAACAAAATTAAGTAATACAACCAACCCCTATTCGAACTTCAAAGTGGCTATCTGAAAGTGCAGCACACAAATAGCCATTGAAGAACTTTATAAAGAAAATAAAAAAATGCAAAAATAATTATCTCACAAACATTTTTAAAAGTACCCTTAAGGCCCATTAAATTATATGGGAAAATATGATCAATAAAGCTAGAAAACACTTTTAAACCTTGTCATAATGTCCAATAAAATCTAAGAATTCTAACAGCAGCAAAAACAAAAGAACCACAGATACAAGATTGGCTATGACTGTAAATTTTTTTTTTACCCAGTCCCATAAAAATGAGATTATCAGATGCTATGAAAAAAACAGTCAGAATTCATGAGGAACAGAGATAATGAGAAAGTCTGAAAATCTGGAAAAACAAAGAAATAAAATTTGAAGCACAGTTTATGTAGTTATAACTTTCACTCACTTATACCTAACGAGATCACAGATAATAAAATCACAAATAATTTGATAACATGATACTACAATCATCAGTTTTGCTGAAGTGAAATTGTAATATTAAATTCAGTGGGTTTTTGTAAACTACTATGCTCCTTCATCCAAAATAAAAAACATATACAGATAAAGGATTCAAAGTTATTCACATGGACTTATTCATGGCTATTAAATATCTATGTGAATAAAGCTTGTATGAGTAGACACAAAACCTATCTCACGCAATTCCAACATAAGTTTGAAGCAAATCACCAAATTTCACTACAAAAATGTACATGAGCAGGCTAATAATTACCTTTGCAAAGAGATTTCTTACTTCGAAGATTTTTTGATGGCTTCTACTGTTGCACGCTTGGAACACTCTAATTATATCATCACAGAATTCTTGCTGAAGAGAAGAAAATTAAATTAATATTATTACTTGTAATTTATAATGCAAATATTATAATTTTAAAAGAAAAAATAAATTAATCAAAACATCTTAAGTTTAAATTGCTATATTATCAGTATAGTTCTGTTAAAGGCAAATTTCTTCAAAGTTCAGAAGACAATTTTAATTCAGAAAAGTTTAATAATAATATAATAAAAGCTTAAGCATTTATTTTAAATTTTACTTTGCCTTGCTTTCACAAATAAGCATATCCACAATGTATAGTTACAATCTGTATATCCATTCAATTTGCCCCTGCCAACCCTGTAGCCTGCGACTAAAACTCTGAGCCTCTTGTTGCAATTAAATTCAAGTGTGTCAATTTTCAAGTGCAGATGTTGCCTAAAATTGACTGCTGGGATGATTACATTACAGTGCTTTCTCACATGAAGTTCTACTGTTATAAACACATGTAAGACAAAAATTTTGGCAATTTTCAACAAAGGGATAACTGAAGTATTGAACTATATTGGTAAAGCAATTTCATTAAACACTAACTAGTGAAATCAAAAAGTTAATATTAGCATCTAACTGATCATATGAACCAAACTACCACGAATAACCAGCTATATTGGCTATATCCAATATCTATAAAATGGCACAAGTTTGTAACCTAAGTTTGAAATTCTCATATTTGTAACCAATGTGGAATTAGTGTTCATAATTAAAAATAACATACCTATACAGTCTTTAACATAAAGCACTGTTTCAGTTAGTTTACAATAATTTGGATTCTTTCTGCAGATGTCTCTTAACTCTTTCTATATGGGATCAGTCATTTTTACTGACCTTGTAACCATGAGGTAACCGTGAAAGCATCCATAAAATAAATTTTAACATGGTATAGGCAGCATGAAATTTGGTAAACTTTTAGTAAACATTACAAACAGTTTTTAAGAAAGTATTTTTACTAAAGATTTAGCCATGAATATATATATATTCAGAATGTTGGCTGATCCAAATGCAAAGTGGTTTCATGTTAAGATTAAAAATAATTTTCTTCATCTGAAAAATCTCAAGTTTCATTTCTGTAATTTCTAAAACCTCCTAAATAATTTTTTTTCCGTAAAATTTTAAATATTTTTTATTTACTCATACGAAATAAATCTAAATTACCCTTTTTTCTTTCTAGAATAACTTCAAATTGTGGCATGAAACTACATTTGTTTATCCTAAATAGCTTTAAACTCATAACAGTATACACCCATTTATACCTAAATTTTATTGTTTTATTGCCCTAGGAATGGTGTCTAATGAATATTCATGCCATAAAATTTGTAAATCACTTGGTGAACATGTAGCTCATGTTACCCTATCGAATTACGTAACAGATGGGCTACTAGCGAGTTGAGAGCGAGCATACCTCACAATAAATTATTATTAATCTTACCTAAACTAACCTAAAAAGTTCTAATTACTAGATTTTAGTTATTTTTATAATAATAAATAAAGAATACACTCAAAAGACAAGAAAAAAAATACCTAGGTCGTCTTTCTTTCTGCTGTCAATTGTCGATGACACTTAACCCTATTTTTTATACTAATAGAACTACTGCACTAAATACATTTTTTAAATAAACAATGCACTAAAGAACAAGGAATACTAAAATGCAAAAAGCAGATAATGTTCCATAACTATCAATGTTTCTAGCTTTCCAACTATGTGACAAGAGCCATTAAAATGTCAGCTAAGCTGGTCCATGCGTTTTTTGTGAGAATAAAGTTTAAACTGGAAGCAAAATAGACAATTCTCTGTATAGAAAACAATGTAGTATATGTGTCATTTGATAGATTAAAACCTTGGCTTCTTATTGGTTATAATTCATATAGTATTAAACATCAGAAAGAAGTACTGGCAATTTTTGAAACAGAATGTGACAAGTGGGCATGGTAAGAGGGGTCTGATTTTCTAAACAAGATTGAAGGATATAAAAATTATGATTTGCCTCAGCATTGACAACATGATAATGAGTAATTTACATTAAATTTTGTACTTCTTGGAGGACTGGTAAATAAGTTAGAGAAGATGGGATGCCTAAAGCAAAAATGTCAATTCTCACACTAGGGGGAATTCAGGATTTTTTTAAATATTGCCTTATAAAATTAAGAACTTATAACTTACGTATTATTAAAATTTGGATTATTAGTTATGTTTTTATGCCAAAGTTATTCCTATACCATGATAAGAAAGCAGTTTAATTACATTTTGAATATAACTCACTAAAACCCTGTGACATGAGCAGAAAAAAAATGCCCACAGTGAAAGTGTTAAATAATTTATATTTGTTTAAAAAATGCACAGAATAATAACATGCACAAAGCAAGCAATGTTCTAGAGCTCTTATAATTCAAACTGGCTTTCTAACTAAGGCATAAGTACCTTAAAATAATTCCCTTAGCTACTTGATCTGAACTTCTTGAAAGAAAATTCAATCTAAAGACGAAATAGCTAAAACTCTGTACTGAGAACAGTGTAGCATTATACATCATTCAGTAAATTAACACCTTGTCTTTCTATTAGTTATAAACAATATTATAGAAAATGTCAGAATGAATTATCATCAATCTGTGAAAGAGAGGATGTAACTAACTGGCCTCAGTAAGTCAGAGAGGGGTGCTTAAAAAAATGTGAGGATGGACAATATGTAGGGAATAAATGTTATAATTCTCATAAAAAGAGGAGATTGAGGATTTATTTAAATTTTTTATTACGAAATCATAACTTGTATATATAAAATTTGATTTAGTAACTACATTTTGATGCCAAATTTAATCATATACATTGATAATAAATAAGTTTAATCAAATTTTCAATGTAACTCTATAAAAGGTCTTGAAATGTTTGCTTTGACCTACCTATAGCGAGAGGGTTAAATACTTTAGCAGCAACATTCACTTATATAAAACACAACTGTATAATAACATTTAACTGGGTTTTTAAGAAGTCACCTTTATCTCACATACTTACAACAGTCTGGTAGCCCCCACTTTCTAACTTGATTTTTATTGAAGTCAAATCTTTTGGCTGACTCCCTGCAAGATACACCAATATTAAGACATTTTCTTTTTTAAAAAAATTATATTTCTATAAAACAAAAGTTTTATAGTTTATTACTATCAAGAAAACAAAACACAAGTTCTCAGCTAATTTGACTCTTTTGTTAAATGACACAACTTATTTAATCGTAATATTACTGATAAAATTTATACACCAAAAACTACTAATTACATTTTAACTATAGATTACTAGCAAACTGCTTTATGTTAAGTTTAGGTTTTACCAGGTGTATCATAATTTTCACACAAAAATTGTTATGACTATGTACTGTATTCAGTTTTCTTAATTTGTACATACTGAAATAGAAGTAAACAACTGAAAAATTATTCATCACATCTAGGAAAGGTAGATGAGATTTTAAGAATTTCAATTTTTAGTGGTAATTTCTTCATGAAAACAGGAATCAGAAGTTTGATAAAAATCAGTGAAACAAATAAGTGCAAAGTTAACAAAATACAAATTAACTAGGTGTTACAAAAATAAATATGAAGCCTGATCTATCAATCAAAAATATTTAAAATACATAGCTTAAATGCAAAATGCCTAAACCTACTTGACATAAACCCAGGGGTGTCAGCTGAGGACATATTATTTAACACCATAAAACAACTTATTTTCAATTTAATCTTGTTCAACCACATACATTTCCATGTGTTCAAATTTGTTTAAACAACTTTTAATGCTGTAAAGCACTAAAGCAGTAAGCTGTAACTAAAGAGTATTGCTAAAAAATAAATCTGAAAGCATGTTATTCAAGTTAACCATTATACACAAATTCATTTTGAACAAAAACATGACATTCACAATAGCCCTCAGCTAAAGCTCATGAAGTGTTAATTTATTTCCAAGTTGTACTGTAGTTTACTTATTTCAATATAATGAACAACAAAAGCTTTGCTGATCCAAGAGTTTTCTTTCTTTTATTTGGAAATTCCAAATCAACTTGTAAGCTTGTATTTATAACTTAAAGATTTACATATGTATTTTAATAGAAAACTGAGAGTCAAAATTAAGTATTTTCCAGTAATTAACTTATTAATTAACACATAAACAAGACTCAGCTGATCCACCCACACTGCCTACGCTAGTGTTGGGCAATTGGTTAACCATTTAGTTGATTTTAGTTGATGAATGATAAAGAAACTTACTTATTACTAAACTTTGTCACTTTACTCATTAGAGACAAAGGATTGTTTTATTTACTTTGTAAAAAATACTGCTTGTTTATTTATTGACTAAAATCAACTAAATGGTTAACCAATCACTAGCCTACATCTCGGCTCTGTACCCATTTTTTAGTGTATTTTCACCATAATTTAAGTAAGTTATGTACATCATATTTTTATATTATATTTAACTGCAAAAGCAAATATAAGAACATCATTGTACTGTTTTGTTTTCTACTAAATGACATCAAGCTAGATGAGACATAAATTTTATAATATATGTGATTTTCTCTCAATACTGACACACACACACACACACACACACATAGAGTACAAGACTTTTAGGAGTTATGATAATATTTTATATATATATATATATAATGTAATTTCATGCTTTTGGAATACATTTAACTTCTTATTGAATCATTTTGGTCAGTCTTACTCTCACATATTGAAGAACTCTAACAAATTTTCCACATTTTCTTGTTGAAAATCTATATTTCCATTCTTTAATATCCTTTTGAAGAAATTTTAATGTCAGATATGAAAATTTTATAGTCATTTCAAATTGAAAAAATAATAAGAGAGGTCAAATTAAGACTTTTTTTTAAAATGGAGAATTAACTTTTGGGGAATACCCTTGAAATCTAAATATCCAGCAAAAGCACTAAAATTACTCAAATTTATAATGTTTTAGCTATAACAAAGTAAAACCACTGCTGAGAAATAATTTCAACCATCCCATCTATTCATTTTTTAAATAAATCAGGAAACATGATCATTATTAGATCTGATATGCAACTGACTGAACATTCAGCTTATGCTTGTAGATGGACAGTTGGTAAAGATGGCATCTTTCTTGTTCATGATTCTTCAATTTAAAATGAAGTTAATGCAACAAGATCAGTCTGGCATTAATGCTGTATATTTATTACCAATAAGAGCAGTTTCCAGGGCTACTTTAGTGAATGAAATCACTTGATATGATAAGATGAATTACCAAATCCCACACATATATATATATCCAATAAGACTGAAGTCCAGTGAACAAACAGGTCTTTCCATCAAGTCAATCTCCTCTTCTTCAAGGAAAGTGTGGACTAGTTCAGCATAGTAAGACAGATGTAATCACTAATTTGGTTGAAGTCAGAGCCAACTGCACCAATATATAACATCATAAAGGACCACAAGATGCAATCTCTTTAATGTATTGTTCTGGTAATACCATTCTGCAGGATACAAGAATCAAAAATACTAATTCTTGCTCTCACCATACTTTTCCATCACATATGAATAACGTTCCTATGTTAAAATGGCACTGAAATTAGATCCAGATTTTCTTCAATTGTGAATATGTGTTTTATGTGGTTGGAGAACAAGGCATGATTAATCTTTAAAAAGAATATTGCTCCACAAGTCATTGGTCCACTGGATGAGTTGTCATCACCACTGCAAGTGACATATTTTGTTCTTGTTGTGAGAAAAGTGAACCTTATTAGGCACCTGGTATACATTTCAGTCTCAGAATGTTTTTACACATTTGCACACATACACTGACATGGCATCCAACTGTAGGTGCAATCATCTCATTCAGTTTCAGAGCAGGTACACTTCACTTGCACTGAGCCACAATGAACAGACAACAACCATCTGCTTATAAAGTGGATGGTGGTCTGCCTTAATAGTTATTCTAGCAACTGTATCATTGGCTTGGAAGTAGTTTCCTATTATACTAACAGTATTCTGTTAGTCACGTGTAGCCAACATGCAACAGTACTTTATGAGTTAAAGTTCCAAACATCGTTTGGTATGTATAATCATAGTTCACAAACAATTCAGAGCAAGTTAAACTCTTCATGTAAATCAAATCTGTATGAGACCATTACATACATGGATATATATATATATATATATGTAGCACAAGCTGTATGATCAATCAGAGTATGACTGATTATCAGATATCTAACCTGCATGACAATAAAGTATAATAGGTGAATGACTGTTTAATAACAGTGGTTTTCCTTTTTCATACCAATATTTTGAAATATGGTTTTCTTAACAGTCATGATGTGTGTGTAAATATTTATGTGTGGGTATATATATAATTATCACACACACACACACACACATGGCTGTATATATTGTGTTTAAAATGTTTCACATTGTATGCAAAATCATGAATTAAGAGACAAATTTAACTCACAAAATTGAAGTGATTTACTAGATACCTTAGACTGAAACATTGACAAACTAGTTCAAGATGACAAAGTCCTTATATCAGTTTCAAATAATACCGTGAATAAGCTAAATGAAATATACAACAAGTAATTTCTGAAAACTATCAACTATGTTCAGTGATTATATGGTTTCATTATGTGTAACTTACATGCACCACAGTAGCTGTAGCAGCATGAACCAGTTAATTAATAAAGCTCTTCTGAAAAATACTACCTTGGGCAGTCTAGCACAAGAGAAATGATCCAACACAACAATTCAGTAAATTTTTTAACAAGACTAGGATACTTACAAAAAAAATTGTTATACATTAATTTTATCATCACACTTATATCACTAAAATATGTACAAAACTAAGCATAAAACCTAAGATGAAAAGCATTGTTCACAATTATGTTTCATTGCAAACAAATTGCCATGACTTTTAACAATTAAGTCTTCTAACTATATTATACTATAAAGAATAACACATTTAGTCTTCATTTCATTTTCAATTATAATGATTTGCCTTTCATACTGTAGCATGAAAGCTAACACAGTCCAAACTATCTTCATAAAAATATATTTAACCCTAAAAAAGAAAATAGCTTATAACTGTTTAGAATGAAAAGCTTACAATAACAATAATTTAATACTGATACGGGCTCAGTCCTTAGGACCAGCCTCATAACCATTTTGTGCTTGATATAATTCCAAGCTATAACTTTTAAATTAGTAAGCATATCTTCATGAAATTTTGCAGATTATCAATAAACACTACAAGGCTTTCGTATGCAAAATATCAGATTTCCTTATAAAGTTTTAAGATTTTTTAAGTAATGTTTTTCTCGTGCCTTTTTTCTTTTTGCATGTTGACTATCCAACATGCAAATTCTTTTATGCATCAGAAAATTTTCTAATTTCACATGCAAAATCTTTATAACAACCAGATAATTATCAAATGTTTCTTAAGAAAAACTTTATATTTTATCTCTTATTTTAACTAATTAATCTCTGTATGGGTTTGGTCGATTTGACCAATCTCCTAACCACCATAAAAAATAAGGAAATAAATATAAATTATGTTTTTTTTGTTCTAAAATGATACAAATTATAATACAAAAACATAAATGTATAATCTAAATTGCTTAAATCTCATAACAATATACATATATATATTTATTATTTTTATTATATTGACCTTCCAGTTATGTCTGGCTAACATTACAGAAGTTCCAATGATGTGGTGCATGTGCACTCATATTATCATATTTAAGAATATAAAACTGACCTTTAGGCTTTACAAGGTGACCTGTCTTGGCTGTGTTTTGGTGAACTAGTATTTTTTTAAGTAGTCACATTTCAGTTATAATACATTATATATTTATATACATTATTACAATTTACAAGTTCTTAACCCGATAAACACCGGCTACTAGCTTTGAGTAGCCAGTGCAAGTCTTGCTATCTTTCATTCCAACAATAAAACTAGTGGATGAA